AACGGGACGAACTTCTGTTACAAACAACCAATTAGGTAGTAGTAGAGCGCAAACTACGGTATAATATTAAAAAACAGTTGTGTATGTACCGAACTTTTTTTATACATATAAAAACTGCGTCTTATTGACTATTATTTCCCGACATCTTTATGTGTAGAAAACATTCAACGATTGTATTGTTTAACTATACATACAATTCTATAAAAATATTAAATCACTATAAAACAATATAAAATTTTCTTCAAATAAGTAATCTTTGCACAATAAACAGTAATGTGAAAACCGCGAGATTCCCTAATTGTACTTATTTCAATAATTTCTAATCTGCAATTATTATGTTCTAGGTACACTCTATTCTACGAGCACACTCTAGACGGCACGCCGGTGACGCGGCCCTACTTCCAGGAGTATCCCAATGAAGAGGAAACTTACACTATTGATGATCAGTATTTACTGGGTATGTACTTTGACTATTATATGACAGGATCCGACAAACGTATAATCTGTTAAAAATAAATAATACGAAAATAATACTACTAGGTAGGTAGGGTAACCATGCATTTAGGAAATTTAAAGACTAAAGATAATGAACAAGATTTTCTCTCCGGTAACTTCTTTGAAAGGTATAAAAACATTGTAATAAGCATTTTTTGTTACAAAATAAACTAAATCGTGTCACAAAATAAAATAAAAACATTTAAATATTATTTAATGTACATGTTTTGAGGACCTAATCAATAGATGGCGTTAGTGGATAAGTGAAGTGTCAACTATGCTTTCTCTATATATATTTTTTTAATTTCATTGATTTTAAATTTAGAAATCTATGACCTATGTCTACACTTGTTGCCTTACAGATGTTAATTTAATTTTCCCTTGTGATTAGGTGACAAGCTGCTGGTCCGCCCCGTGCTGGAAGCTGGTGTGAAGAGTGTGAAGGTGTACCTTCCCGGACGAGAGACAAACACGTTGTGGTACGATGTCGACTCCTACCAAGTACATAAAGCTAACGGATATTTCAATCAGGAAGTTAATCTAGCAAAGGTATGTTTTATGGATGTTTGTGTCTTAGATTTTAAATATTGAATGTTATAATGAATTTTGTTGGGATTCTAACAAAGTTAAATGGAAAATCTTATTTAGGAAAGGAATCAAATTATAAGCCAATAGCAGCAAAGATGTAAGGTTTCCATGGTAACGGTAATCGTTAGCCAATGGCAAAAGCCTTCGTTGTCACTTAAACATTTGGGCTTTGAAATATGCAAATAAAAGTTTATAAATGTAAACAATAAAATTAAGTTTTATTGACAGTGCTAGTAAATAAAATCCGCTTTAACACTTTTTCTACTTGATAGTTTTTTTGCAATTTGTTAATTAATTTTAATAGGCTATCTGGGTTGAAGCGTGTCGTAAGTGTAGGTCTTTTTATTAAAGAAAGAATTATTCAAAAATATGTTGTGATTGCTGACTACGTAGGATGTAGTGTGTGTTTACTCTTTATTATATTAGTATATAAAATAGGTCCAGTTAATTATGTGTGTGTGATATTTCAGATCCCTGTGTACCAGCGCGGGGGCGCGGTGGTGCCGCGACGCGAGCGAGTGCGTCGCTCCTCCACGCTGATGGCCAACGACCCCTTCACACTGGTCGTCACATTGGACGCTAATGTATGTGTCATTTACGCTTTGTAAAATAAAGCTCTCATATTTATCTCATATTATTTACTAGATTTCGACCGCGACTATGACTGTGTGGAATTTAAAAAAAAATTAAGTAGCTCATGTGTTCTTCCAGACTATCCTCTACATCTATGCCACATTTTATCGAAATCATTGTCATTAAATTATTTAAACTTTCGTGAGACATTTTATAATTAATTATTTTACGGCTTACTCACGTCATACTTTTTCAGTCTGTTCTCTGTTCAGAAACCTGTTCAGCAGTTTAGGCTGCAATCTCAAATAATTAAAAACACAAGAATGATGAAACAGATAATTTGAAACACAAAAAAAAAACATTTTTATGTTTTTATTTATCTGAATATTGTTAAAAGACAGGAACATGAAATAAAACGACAAGCCTAAACATTGACTTATAAATATCGACAAAGACCATATTAAAATTAATTGTATTATAAATGCGAAAGTTTATATGACTGGATAGTTGTTTGTTACAGTTTGTAGTCTATACTGCTGAATATATCTCGATACTAGTCATAAATGTAGAGAACAGTCTGAAAGAACAATTAGGCTACTTTGTTTTTTAAATTCCATGCGGACGGAGTCGCGGGCAAAAGCTAGTTATAATATAAATATATGTATTTTTTTGCAGAACACAGCGCACGGCACCCTGTATATTGACGACGGGGAGACTTACGAATATAAGAATAATAAATACATCTACGCCAAGATCGCTTACGAACCTAACCAGATGACATACACGTGAGTATATTTTTAGTAATTTGTCTATATGCTGCTAGGCCATTTTTGACCTCCACTTTGTTCTCTTGTAATTAAAAAACAATCTAAATAGTGCCTAAGTCTATGTCAAAATGCGAAATTTTTATAAGAACAGATAATTATTAATTAATGTAATTTATTTCTTATGCAAAATATTTTCGTAGTATATCTTTCATTTATGAATTTATATTTTTAACATTTTATTCTGCCATTTTCCTTACGAAGGTCTTAAGGGTTATTTGTTTTAGCCGTTATATTTGATTTCGCTTCTTAAAAATACGAAAACCTGTACGATTACGCTAGCTTCTCTAATTGAATCGAGA